ATGACTTTCCCCAAGTTACTGTTTTCAGAATTAGGTCCTTTGTATCTGAAGCATGCCTAGCACTGGTAGGCCCTCTATATATACTTAGTGAATCAATTAGTGGCCCCTGGCGCCGCTGGTTTTCTGGTCCCAGATGAGATCAGGTACTCCACAGGTCCTTCAGTGATGTGGAGGCAGAAATGGGAAGAAGGTTCAAAAGCCTGGATGCAGCTCCTCTGGGGTTGCTGTACTGGGATTCCATGACCTGGGAGGCACAGCTGACCTCTCCTGCCGGTCTCTGAACATTCAGATCTCATTCTCTGTACATTCTTTCCAGAAGGCAACTGTACCTCTCTTTTCTACGTACTGCTTTCAATGGGTGCCCCCCAAACTAGTGATTATAGTCTCCCATTGATGTCATGGCTCTTTCCAGGAGGAACTGGGTCAAATGGGAACCACCATATCCTGCTGGAACCACATTCCTGCCCATCGGTCTCGCCTCAGTGCTGACCCAGATCCTCCAGGCTGACTCCTGCCTCCCTCCGTCGGTCCTTCTTCCCCTCCTTCTTTCTCTCTCCCACTTGTAGACATTCCTCCACCCCCAGCCTTCCTTCACACTCTGATATCCACTGGTGTCTCTCAGCGCATTGGAGACTCCGAAACCCAATTATGTAGAGAATTCCACTGTCTTCCCACACTGTTTCTGGGTTCTCTTCATATCCTTGGATATGGCTGAGCGAGCAGCTTACTGTCCCTGATGATCAGGGAAGACTTCAGGATACATAAAAGGCCCGATGCTAGGGGGAGAGTGTCCACCTTCACTCAGTCCTGGCCAAGCCATTGTAACATATTATACCATATATACTGAGTGGTTTTCAAACTTTATTATTCACCAGAATCACCAGAAAACTTGTTCAAACATGGATTGTTGGGTATTTGCTACCAGCATTTCTGATCCTGTAGGCGGTAGGGTGGGGCAAGAATTTACATTTCTAGCAAGTTCCCAGGTGAGTCTGATGCTGCTGGCCCAGGGCACACTGATAACGGAAACCCAGCGTGGCTTCAGTCCACCAGACAGGATTAGTTTGGGGGAGTAAAGTTAATGCTACTGATCTTTTTTTTTTTTTTTTTTTTTTTTTAAGTTTCTGATTGTTCAAGGCAGGTGTCAGCAGGAAGAAACCCAGAGTCAAATGTCACTTTTATATATACAAATCCATTATGATTGCCGATTGTTCCTTTAGTGGGTCAATGGTCAAATCAACACAGGATGGCAGGAATTGATGAAAAAGTATGATACAACTTTTAGAAAGGTCTCTAGAGTAGTCCTGTGAGGAAGTCATACCAAGTCTGCCAGACACTGAGATGAGCACCCACCACCCGGGCAATGTAGGAGTTTTGTTTTTGTAGATTTCTGTACATCATTTATGGCTAATGGCTCTGCACTGGGGGTGAGTTAGCATGAAACAGACATTTACTCAGGTTGAGAGATTCATGCAGCACCTTCCAGGAATGAGTAAATGCTGAGTCAATTAAGCATAGCTTTAACCTCAACGTAAGCCAAGGCCAAAAGAGAAATCTGCCCACACTCATGAACTTCGCTTGCTTCTCTTTGGATCACCACTTCATTTGCATACAAGCCTACTGCCTCCCAAAAAGGGGGGTGGGGGGATTTACACTGGGTACTTGTGACAGGATTCTGGGCTGTCAAGTCAGTACACTAGGAATCCTATCAGCAAAGAGTACCTAGATGTTAGGGAGAAACTGTGAGAGAACTTTGGGACAGTCAGGGTGTCTGGATTTATCCACATCTGGAAAAATGACTCTCAAGTGAAGACAGAGGTGAGGGCTGCTGACCCCTGGTGGGCATGAGCTGTGGGAAGACGGGACTTCAACACCAAGGACCTGTGCCCCAGAGTCTGTAAAGAGGGCTCTGGATGTGATGTGGAGGTGGTGAGGCAGTTCTCTAACTTATGTGGGAGAACTTGGCTTAAACTCTTTGAGCCAAGGGAAGGATGTCAAAAGCTGCAGAGCTGGAATTCTTTTTTTAATAAGCAGAAGGACACCCTGTTAAAGTTTGGTTCAAGGGAGTAGGAGAAATCCTTTACCTGGAACAGAAAGACAAGAGCCACTTAGGAATTTCAGGAACTCCTGGAAATGGAGGGAGTGGTGGAGGATAGATAGGTAACAGTGGTGGAGGCTCTTGGTCTCATAACTAGAGGAAGGTGGAGGTGAAATTAGGGGTGAAGCAGGGAGTGAACTTGAACTTGGGGCTCTCTTAACAAAAGTGGAGCCAGATGGTTCTGTGGTTGTTATCTATATCCTGGAACATTCTGAAGCCTGGCTTGTTCTGTGGAAAGCAAAGGCCACTTTTTATTTTGTAGTAATTTCAAACTTTTGGAGAAGTTGCAAGAGTAGGACAAGGAACTTCTCAAAAGGAGCCCTTTGCCTAGCTGGATTCAACATTTTTTTTTCTCAGTGGCTTTATTGTTTCTTATTCATCCACGTAGCCAAACGCACGCGTGCGCGCGCACACACACACACACCCCTACACATAAACAAAATTTTCAAAACCATTTGAGAGTTATTGCAGATAAAATACCCCTTTATCTCTAAATAAATAAGTGTATTTTTTTTCTAAGAACAAGGACATTGTCTTATATAACCACAGTGCAATGACCAAAATCAGGAAACTTAATATTGATATAATATCAATATAATCTAAACCACAATGTCTCATCCAATTGTCCCAATCATGTCCTTTACAGCTAATTTTCTTCCTGGTTCAGGATCACTCAGTGCATTTAATTGTTCTATGTCTTTAGTGTCCTTTAATCTGAAGCAGTTTTCATTGTTTTTTTTTTTTTTCTTGACCTTGACAGTTATTTTGTACAATTTCTTTAATTTGGGTTGTCCTCATGTTTCCTCATGATTAGAGACAGGTAATGCTTTGCAGGCAGGAATTCCAGAGAATTGCTGTGTTCTTGTCATTGGATTGTATTCGGAGGTGTATGAATGTCAGTTTGTCCGTACATTGGGGATGTTAACTTCGATTCCAATGGTTAAATGGTGTCTACTGGATTTCTCCATTGTAAGGTTACTATTTTTTCAAAGGCCTCATTTAAAATGTCACAAGCATAAACAGTAAATGGGTGAACAAAATCTACTAAAGCCTTCCTTCTTTCTTTTTTTTTTTTTTTAAAGATTTTATTTATTTATTTGAGAGAGAGAATGAGAGACAGAGAGCATGAGAGGGAGGAGGGTCAGAGGGAGAAGCAGACTCCCTGCTGAGCAGGAAGCCCGATGCGGGACTCGATCCCGGGACTCCAGGATCATGACCTGAGCTGAAGGCAGTCGCTTAACCAACTGAGCCACCCAGGCGCCCTATTTCTTTCTTTTTTTTTAAGATTTTATTTATTTGAGAGAGAGAGAGAGCTGGGGGAGGGGCAGAAGGAGAGGGAGAGAATATCAAGCCTACTTCATGATGAGCAGGAGCACAAGGTGGGGCTCAGTCCCATGACTCCGAGATCATGACCTGAGGGGAAACCAAGAGTCCAACATTTACCTGACTGAGCCACTCAGGAGCCCCAAGACTTCCTTGTTTCTATAGATGACCTCTTTGCCCTTCCCCACTTAAACTTCTTCCAGAGTCTTAATGATTAGGGGAGACTTTGAGCTAGGAGGAATCTTAGATTTCATCTGTTTTTCTGTTTCCCAAGTGTGGGATGCTATGATTTTTGTGTCTTCCCGTTTGTATTAGGCTTAATTGTTTCACACGGTAGCAGAGGCTCTCCCATTTCAGTGATTTCTCCAACCTTCTGAGTACATGAAGTAGAAAGGCTCAGTTGGGTGCTAGGAGGTCTTGAAAATTTCAAATAGTTGATTTTTCATATATATATTTTAAGAAAGGGAAGGCCTTAGGTTCATAGTCTCTGGTAGGCAATAGTATAAGTTCATTCAATAGCATTTTAAAAATCATGTTTATTTTTACAGTTACCTGTTGCTCCTCATTGAAAATTGGGTAAAACTCTAATTTACAGGATTAACAATAATTTTCTTTCAAGTTCCCATTTAAAAGCGTGAAGTACAATAAGTGAGTCGATTTGGAGAAACTGTAAGAACTCAAGGGAAACTTTTAGGTGCAGGGGCATGGAAGCGATGAGTGGACGTGGCCCACAGTTGTGCAGGCCGCAGACGAAGCGCTTACCTTCGGGGAAATTCCGACCTTGGCATTTAGGCCAAAGTCCTCAAAGGAAATGGACAGTCTGGCCCCGCTGATTCTTCCCGGCCGCCCGGTCTTCCTCGTGGGAACCGGACTGGGCAGGCGAAGAACCGATTCCGGCAAGAAACAGGCCACAGAAAGGTCCGGAGAGCCTTAAACCTGGGTGGACAGTGCCGCGTGGGCCCCAGGGGACAGGCTTCTGACACACCTGCCTTCCCATCCCGCCTCCGCGGCTCGCTAGCTGGGCAGGGGCGGGCTGTCTCACTTTCTCTGATTCTGGGGGTCCCATCCGCGGGGGGGCGGGGGGGGGAAATGGTGCACATCTCAAACCTCTGGTCGTCTCTACAGCCACAGGGGTATAAGGCGCCAAGCGCAGCGTACCGCACAGCGTCAGGAAATGTAGCCGCTTGGTCCCAATTCTTCTGTGGGGACAGGGACAGGCCTGGAGGAGAGGCAGGGAATGCAGGCCCGGAGGGGATTTTTCTCCCGTCTCTCCTCCTTGGGAACTCAATGGGCCACAGTGGGCGCGGCCCGCGCCTCGCCCTGCCCGGCCGCGCCTCGCCCCTTGTGCGGTCACCCTGACTGGGGACGCGAGGCCCCCGCCACCCCGTCCCTGCGCGGCCCAGGCACCGAAGGTGCGGAGGGAGCGAGGGAGGCAACGCTGTCTTCAGCCACGCGCCCTGGAGCCCCCGTCCGCCCCAGGGAACAAGCAGGCAGGTGCGGGCTCCCGCGGGGGCAGGGCGGGCCCCCGGCCGCGCCTCGCCGGGCCGACGCCCCCCAACCCGCCCGGGGCCGCCCGCGCCGCAGACCGCACCCCGGAAGCCTGCGCGCCCAGCTCCGCGTCCCGGAAGCTCGCGCATGCGCGCCGAAGACCCGCAGCTGTTTGGCCGTTTCCATGGCTACGAAGAGCGTTGCCCGGGGGCCTGGAAAGGAGAAAATGAAGCTTAAGAGCCTCCTGCTCCGGTATTACCCGCCAGGTACCGGCCAGGCCGCCTCCGTGCTGGCGTGCGGTCCTGGGCTCTGGCTCTGGGAGGCTCCGCGGCGGCGGAGGGTGCGGGGACTCGAGGGGACGGCGGGGTCCCCTCGTGGGTGATCCATGTGGGGGGCAGGTGGCCGGGCGAGTCCCAACAGGGGCCCCCCACTCCTCTCGCTCCTTCGGTTGCTGGACGCTGTTGCTCGAAACATTCAAAGTGATTTTTAAAAGCGTTCTTTAAACGTTGACGTTGCTGAGTTATAATACCTTTCTGGCTGCTTAGGAATGTGGCAGATGGGGAGGGAGGGGCGGTGATCAGTGATGTCCCAAGAGACTGGTTTCCGGAAGGGACGGCGCTGACGAGGAGCTCGTTGCTCTTTATTTTAAACATAGCAGAGTGATCACGTCGAGGTGCGTTGAGTATGAAAAGGAAAATGCATATGCAACAAAGTATATTAACTGAGTGTCGGCATTCCAGACCACACATATCAGTTGACCCACACGTTTTTGTTTTTTTTTTTAAAAGATTTTATTTATTTATTTGACAGAGACACAGCGAGAGAGGGGACACAAGCAGGGGGAGCGGGAGAGGGAGAAGCAGGCTTCCCGCAGAGCAGGGAGCCCGATGCGGGGCTCGATCCCAGGACCCTGGGATCATGACCTGAGCCAAAGGCAGACGCTCAATGACTGAGTCACCCAGGTGCCCATCTTTTTTTTTTTTTTTTTTTAAGATTTTTATTTATTTATTTGACAGAGAGAGAGAGAGACAGCGAGAGAGGGAACACAAGCGGGGGGAGCGGGAGAGGGAGAAGCAGGCTTCCCGCCGAGCAGGGAGCCCGATGCGGGGCTCGATCCCAGGACCCTGGGACCATGACCTGAGCCGAAGGCAGACGCTCAATGACTGAGTCACCCAGGTGCCCATCTTTTTTTTTTTTTTTTTTTAAGATTTTTATTTATTTATTTGACAGAGAGAGAGAGAGACAGCGAGAGAGGGAACACAAGCGGGGGGAGCGGGAGAGGGAGAAGCAGGCTTCCCGCCGAGCAGGGAGCCCGATGCGGGGCTCGATCCCAGGACCCCGGGATCATGACCTGAGCCGAAGGCAGACGCTTAACGACTGAGCCACCCAGGCGCCCCGACCCACACGTTTTTTGAGGGCCACCAGGCGCTCTGTGCCCCGGGGCTTCCAGCTAGAAGGTCACAGTCCTTGATTCCAATGAGTTAAGGAATTTCAAAATACGCGACAGAACGCTATAGTTTTAGAGTGGGACAAACTTGTCTAGTTGTCTTGTTTCACAGGTGAGGACTTGGTCACCTTTGAAGAATGAGTGAAGCCTGCTGGTCACCCAGCTCATTAGGTACAGAAATAAGGGCAGAACTCTTGGGTCCAATTCAGAACTCACTTTAAAAATAAGAGTAGGGGCGCCTGGGTGGCTCAGTGGGTTAAGTGTCTGCCTTGGGCTCAGGTCATGGTCCCAGGGTCCTGGGATGGAGCCCCTCGTGGGGCTCCCTGCTCAGTGGGGAGCCTTGCTTCTCCCTCTCCCTCTGCTTGCCGCTCACCCTGCTTGTGCTCTGTCTCTCAAATAAATTTTAAAAATCTTTTAAAAATAAATAAAAATAAGAATATAAAATAAAAAAGTCTGCAAAACTTTTAAAAAATTTTAAATATATATATATTTAAAGCAAGAGAGGGAACACAAGCAGGGGGTCGGGAAAGGGAGAAGCAAGACTTTCTGCGGAGCAGGGAGCCCGATGTGGGGCTCAATCCCAGGACCCTGGGATTATGACCTGAGCCGAAGGCAGACGCTTAACGACTGAGCCACCCAGGCACCCCAAAGTCTGCAAAACTTGCCACAAAGCAGTAGATGACCAAATATCCTTGCCAGATGAGAAGTTTGGGCTTCCCTGCATGGGTAAGCCTGGCAGCAACTCTCACCAGTGTGAAGTGAACATTTGTAGTAAAATTATAACTCATTTTCTCCCTCTTAGAATTACAGTTAAGATAACATGAAAAGGCTCTAGATGTGAGAGGTAGCACATAGGAAATTGTAAATAGCTTGTTCTCTGGAAGCATTCACAACTTTACTTTGGCTGTGCTTGGTGTAGGCTCGTGCTGGTTCCCATTGACTGATATGTGAATGACTTGCTTTCATTCATCCCTTTGCTGTGGAGTGTAGGTTAGGAAGATGAGCTCTGGGTCCATAATAACTGGCTCTCACCATGTACAAATTTTGTAACTTGGTCAATTTGTTTCTATCCATTGAGGTGTTTTGATCATCAAGTCACATGGTGATAATAACACCCATCTTGCCCGTCTACTGACCCTTTGCAGCTGCTCTCCCATTTATCTCTTTCCCTTCAGAGCAAACGTCCTTGGAAGAACAGTGTCCCCGTTTCTCTTCTGTCTTCTGTCTTGGACTCACTCCTATCCTGTTTTCACCCTCATGGCCCCACTGAAACTGCGCTCTTCAAGATCCTCAGTGACCTCCAACATCACTCAGCCCACTGGCCGCCTCTCTGTCCTTCCTTTCCTGATCTGACAGCAACATTTGATGCATTTGAATACTTCGTCCCTTGGCTCCCAGGACACACTGGTTTTTAATCCTGCTTTATTGTCACTCCTTCTTCATCCATCTTGTTGACTTCTCTTCCTTCTGATCTTAATGTTGGAGCTCTGTCCTTGGACTGCTCTATCTATACTCATCAGTTAGGTGATCTCATCCATTCTCCAGGTTTAATAACCTGAGGGAGTAGTCCTGAGAACCTACCTCACGGCCTGTCTGATTGTTCATTTGGATGTGCAATGTGCATCTCATACGGGGCATCCTATGGTCTCTCTCCTCTGTGAATGGCAGCTCCATTCCTCCATCTGCCTGAGCCAAAACCTTGGACTCATCCTTTTCTCCCATCTTACATACTCCACATTTGGTCCAGTAACAAATCCTGCCAACTCACCTTTAAAATATATACAGGATTCAGCAGTTTTACCCCACAGCAATGGCTACCATGCTTTCTATTGCTAAAGCTTCCACCCTTGCCCCACTTCTGTATATTTTCATCACAGCAGCAGGATGAGTGCTAGAACATAAATCTGATCATGTCACTCTTATGCTTGAGCTCTCCAATGGCTTTGCATTTTACTTAAAATAAAAGGGCCATGATCTCCAAGGCCTTAATCTCCAAGGCCCTACAGGACCTTCCCTGCTTTTGCCTTTGACTTCACCCTGCTTCCCCTCCAGCAACACTACTCTTCTTGGTGTTCCATGGATGGGCTGGGTATGCCCCCACTCAGGGTCTCTGCACTTGCTACTCTTTTTGCTTGGAATAATCTTCCCTGGACATCTGCATAGCCAGCATTCTCACGTATTTTTGGCTCTGTCCTTAAAAGTAAGTAAAGTGAGTAAATTGAAGCCTCCCTTTCTAGAATTTCTACAATTTCCAACTTCTCCTCAAGATATTTCATAGCATCCTCCGCTGCTTTGTTTTTTTCCTAGCATTACCTCAGTTCAATGCACCACAATTTTACTTATTTTGCTTAGTCACCCGACTTAGAATAAAATCTTCATGAGGTCCTGGACTTTGTCTATTTTGTTTACTACCGCATCTCTAGCACTTAGAGTAGTTAGAGACTGGTCAATAAAGAGGCATTCACATATTTGTTGAATAAATGAATGAGTTTAATGAGATGATGTGTGTTGAGTAGAATGCCTCGAGCTCCTCCTGAAATAGGAATAGGTCAGACAGATGATTGATAAGATTCTCTCCAGCTCTGAAAGTCCAGGGTTCCAACAACCATGTCACATTCAATAAGGCTTTAGACTTACACTTGCAACTATTGCCTTAATGATTATCTTATAATGAAGTCATATCACTTAGCATGTTAGACACTTAATTTCTGAATTCCAGTCTTTGGTGAGCCATACATTATATGCACGTTTCCAAGGTACTACTGAATAGCAGGTGGGCGTTGAAATAACATTATCAAGTAGGAAAGAAATCACTCACCACTGAATCATTCTTGTGTTACGTTTATCCCTTCTGCAATTTTGTTTAATCTCTTAATCCAGAGATTTCAGTCCTCCTACTTTCTTTTGAGTAACATATATGTCAGGAGCATTCCATTGTTGGCATCCATGGAATTGTCCCTCTCCCTCCTAAAGGTACATAGCAGTAATATGGCTAATTGAGCATGGGCATTCTCTTTTTATCTCATTCATTAATTCATAAGCTCTTCACTTTGTGAAGAGTGGGTGTTGCATACGTGCTTTTCAACTGACTCAGGCATGACTGTCTTTGTCTTTTACTTCTTGTGTGTAGGCCCCTAGTTTTTTGGGCCACGAGAAGGAGATAATAAACATTAATTAGACTAGTTAATATTCTGAGCACTTTAAAGGTCTCTGTTGGTTGAATGTGATCGGAGTGAGGAATACCCACATCTTTTGAATCTTAGTACATTGCAGAATTTTGGGGGGGGACAGTTTCTTACTTAAGTGTTTTTGGGAATCATGCCTAATGCACAAAATTTCACAACCAGGGGCAGATGGAGAACATTAAGATACTATGGGAAGCAATCCCTGAAGAACAACATGTGCTCCTGGGAGCATCTTTGTCTATTTTCTTCTTGTATTCTTCACTGTGCATGACCCAGCCTGTGGCTCATACTGCAGCTCAGTGGTCATGGGAAGGGTGAGCATTTGACCTTGATGTTTTGTAACAGTGGAACAGTCCAATGCACAGGTTTCAGATTTTGCACTTTGTTTTCTAGGTCCATTTGTATAGTAACCCAACTAATTTAGTAGTCAACTTTAAAGACTTTTAACATTTTTTATTTTATAAGAAACAAGATAGTAGTGAAAAAAAAGAATGCAGTATTTTGTGAATTTGCCAAAATTATTTAGTGCATTTCCTTAGGATATTAAATTATGGTGTGTGGGCTGTCAAGTGCTAATTCTTTCCAACCTTTCTCTGAGTTACAGATTAGGATTATATTATTTACTCATTGTTTA